TGAGGACGGTGGAAGGGGCTGATGGCACCGGTGGCGTCGCTGTTGCTACGAAAGACGTGGGTGTGAAGGGAGCAGCGGACTGGTGGTGAAAGGAAGGAGGGGGTGTGGAGGAGGGAGGGGACGTGAGATGGTTGATTGAAACGGTGGGGGGAGTGGTGGGGGGAGGGATGGTCGAGTGGAGGGATGGCGAAAGGCTGTTAGGAGGGGCGGAATGCAGAATGCGGGAGCTTTGAGCAAGCCCGAAGGTGAACGGCGGGCGAGTGGTAGACGGCCATTGGGACGCGGATGAGAGAGGGCGGGCTGGCTGGACTGGGTGGGGCCGAGAGGTGGACACGTGGTTGCGTGAAGGAGAGGGTGAGAGGGAGGGTGCGAGGGAGGGTGCGTTGGAGTGTGAAAAGGAGGGTGAAAAGGAGGGTGTGAAGGAGGATGGGAGGGAGGGTGTGAAGGAGAGTGGCCAGTCGAGGCCAGGGAGAGAGCCTAATGTGGGTGTGTTTGATGCTGCTGCAGTGGGCGGCAGGTGTGAGTGACGAACTCTGCAGCAGGGACTGGAAAGATTGGGGTGCCTTCAGGTTGGCTGGATCCTGAGTGAACAGTGATGGCAGCTGCTCCTGCTCCTGTTGCTCTTGATGCTGCTGCAGCTGTTGCTGTTGTTTTTGCTGAAGACGCGCCAAGAGCCAGGATGTTGGGATTGTTGGCCTGAATAGAGCAAAGAAGAGCAGATGAGAGCAAAGGGGGACTAAGGCATGAGAAGTGAACCAGCGTACTCGCCAAAATTCCACGGCAAAAGAATGCAAACGGAGACTTATTCAGTCTGAAAACACCGCAACATCAGAGTAACCGCCAGAAATCCAATCACAATGAGCACGCACAAGCGAGGCACATAACCTTCAACAACAGGACTTGTAGCCTCACCTGCTCTCGCACTGTTGTTGGCGGCTCTGGTTGCCAGCGGCCCGCAGAACCAGCGAGTGCACAGCCGAGGCATCAACAGCTACAACGTCCCGAAGCTGGCTCGCTGACAGGCCTTCACGAGTGGTGGTGTAAGCGGCGCCGCCGCCGGTGCCAGTGCTGGTGCTGGTGCTGGTGAAGCCTGTGCCATCACCATTGCGAAGCCTCTTCATCCTTCGATCCAGGAGGTGTGGATCTAGAGCATCCATGACATGTGATTTTGGAAACAGAATGCGAGCCAGCTGGCGAGCTGACACGGATGTTGTGCGCTGCTGTCCTCCTGCTCCTGCTGCACCTGCTGCTGCCGCTTCTGCTGCGTCATGCTCTCTGCAAAAGCGTCTCCCGCTTGGTTCCGTGAATTCACCCTCAGGAGCAGCAGCAGGTGCTCGATTGAAGTCAGGTGCGTGGTCAGGTGAAACAGCAGATGGTAGCGGGGTGTCTCGGAGACCAGGGGGGAGGGACAGCCGCATGCACTCGACCAATGACAGCCCGCCATATTGCAACGCCACATCAGGACGGCTCCACATGTGCCTCTGTGGTTGGCCGGCGGACGGGGAAACGGCCGGGCCTTGCTGGGACTGTTGCTGAGCTGGCAGTGTGACGTCAGCATGCTTCTGGGTGAACTTCCTGCAGACACGAAAAATGCGAGGGACAGGCATGCGACAGTTGAAGCTGTGCGTGTGAGCTGCAAGGAGAAACCTTGCTGGTAAAGGAAAAGCAAAGCTTGCCAAGGTGCGAAGCAAAGCAAGGATCTAGTAGTCTCAGCGCAAAAACGAGTGGACTCAGTGACTCAGACGGTACCAAGTCAGAAGGTGCACCCTCAACTCAAGCAGGAATTTTAAAGGATGCACACCACATGACATGGTGTGACATGGCATGACATGACATGACAGACAGCTTGACGTATCCTGGCATGGCAAGAAGCATGGCTCACTTCTTAAGAGGAAGCAATTGCAGCACATATCATGATAATAACACGGCCTTGCACCTCCGGCTCACTTTTTGAGGAAGAGGAAGCGGTTGCAGCACGCCTTGTTGCCGCGCGCGAGCTGCTTGCCTCGCACCAGCCGCCCCCACTGCCGCGTGCCGTGCCTCAGCGCGTGCCGCAGCAGCACCGCGTCCTCCTGCCGGGCCGGGAGGGGGCAATGGGGGACAGGCGATCGAGGTAAGAGATAAGGTGAGAGGGATAAGTGGAAGACAGGGCAACAAGATAATTCGGAACTAGCTATTTTCGGAAGGTGAAGGTAAGGCAGCACGTAGTACTAGGCGAAGGTACGTAGCACAATGCACGGAATTTCAAGCATCCCTCCCAGGCCGTACCTCCGACGTCCACGGTTGCGAGCAGGAAAGCGCGAATCGCAGAATGGGCGGCAAATCCGCCCCGCGGGAAAGCTGCGAGCCTCCATCTCGCGACACCGGTTGCTGCGTTGCCATGGGTGAGGCGGGAAGTACTTGAAGGTCTTCGATTCGGAGAATCAGTGGCGTTCCTGTGGCCGCGCCGGCGCAGCAGCCGTCAACCGCGTTCCCTGGAAGCTGGAGGCTCGACGCTGCGGTCGATGTGATCCGAGTGGGACAGACAGGGTACGCGACGTGCCACGTGTCACGATCTGTGAGTCGGTCGAGAGCAGAAACGGATGCGCGTCGGAAGCGGCGCGAGTTGAGGATCGGTGTGAATCCAGCCAGAGGGGCACAGTACGGCTCGCGTTCAGCGAGGTAGTTGGCGTTCTTGAAAGAAACGGGAAGGGTGCTGGATCCCAAGAGTCACTCTAGGAATGCGGCCTCGTGCGAAAAGATCAGATGCTTGCTGCGTATGGGAGGAAGGGGAATCTCCAAGCATGTGGAAGTAAGTTGAGAATTACCGGGGGTGTACAAGATGTAGTATATGGATTGCTAGACAGATTCGGGAGCAACTTGAGCTCGTGAGCTTGTGTTATACTACTACTAGCGCCACGTATGGGCCCGGGCGGGGAAGGTGAGTTTGCCATGGATCATGGATCCTGAGCGGGTGACTGAACCACTTTTGAAGAGCCTCAAAAGGGGCGGGGAAGGTTGATTTGCGATGGATCATGGAATCCTGAGCGGGTGACAGAAAGCGTACGCGCCGCTGGATGAGAGGTTCTTTCTTGCGATGCGACAGAGTCCGAGTCAGGGCGGTGGAGGGTTTTCGGGGCGACGAGACGACGACCGCGCGAAGGGACGGGCAGGATGCTCGCGATTCGCGAACAGCTTTCGCGAATCGCGATACTCCACCCCACATGCAGATGGGAAACTACTCTAACACCTTCCGCATCTTTCTGCATTGCACGTCTCCTGTCCGCATCGCAGTGCCTAGTCAATTCAGCGAATCCGTCTACTCGTGTACAGATAACACGTTCCGTCCAAAGCGGAACCCCCATGGCTCTATTTGGAGCCGTTCCAGCGCCCATGTTGGGTTTCGCGGCGGGATCGCGATTTAGCTTCCGAGGCAAGACAGCAGTCGAATGCAAAGATTCGCGCATGGGCTGCTCCGCAGTTGCTGCCATAGGACGGACCAACGGCTTCATTCTGCTGTCGTTTGCCATGATGCGGTCGCCGTGAGAACGCAGGAGAAGACGCACCTAGCGTATAAAATCATCGCCAGCTTCACGCTGAAGCGCACATGCGCTTGCGTTTGTGCACATGCAAGACTTTAATGAAGGGCTAGACTCTATGGCGGAGCTAAGCTAGGAGGACGTGCAAGGCTGTGATAAGAGCTGGAGGAGCTAAGGCAGGACCGTGCATTACATGACACAGTTGTGTGGGTAGAGGCGGGGCTGTAAGTGACGTGTTGGTCCCTAAACACTCCGTGGTAAGCGTTGTCAGTGACGACGATGATGGTGGGATGAGCAACGCCAGAAGAACTCAACTAAAAGCAGGTCTCCAATTGTCGAAAGTGGTTTCCTAGTGCAGGACGAGCAGATGAACTGAACAGTGATGTGATGTGAAGTTGGGGCCCGCTTTTGACACCCACTCAGAAAAACACTAGGGCGGTATGATGGTGTCGTGGTGGGGGGAGTCAGTGGGCCAGTGGCGGAACTGGATTGCCCAAAAGTTTGGAATTGGGTTCACCAATACGTTTCGCCAGCTTTCGCCAGGTTCGCAGTGGGCAAATTAGAGCGTGGTTGTGAAAATCCCTACAGATATCCTAAACAGCCTTTTCTGCAGAGTTTCCTGCTGTTTCGTGTCCGCTCTGTCAAGAGATTGGACCGGGTGGACTCAATCGAGCGGGCCGTTGGCCATGATTCTCTGTAAATCCAAACGAGGATTTGCGATTAGTGTATGCGCTGCTGGATAATGGGTTCTTGTTACGAGTGCAATTGAGCGAGCGAGCTAGAATTGCACTATCGAAGCAAAACAATACAGTTGAGCGAAAAGCATGAGCGAAGTTATATAGCGAAGCTAGCGTGGTAACGGTAATGCGGGAAATTGGGGTGCGCTACGGGCCTAGCGCCGAGGTTGGGAATTGTCGAGGCGGAGGTCCGGAGCGCGGATTACCAACCGAACCGTGAGGTTGGGTCGCATCGTGAACAGTAGCGGGAGTCGTGGTCGAGGCGAATGTCGCGAGCGGGTAACGTTCACGGATGGGTGCCGATGGCGGGAACGGGCATGTACGCGGTAAGCAAGGACGCGAAGTAAGGAAAAGGAATTTTCCTTACAATTCTCATCTCACTTTATTTGGGTTGTACTGAAGGTCATTATACAACAAGTCACAATCATTTTACTCTAATAGGGCCTCCAGCTCCCTCTCAGCATGCCAACTTACATGTAAGGTACCTAAATACTTGTCCTGCTACTGATGACAGGTAAACAAGAAATGGATTGTAGGATCCTGGCAGTGATTACTCATGACATGACAATCTACACTTCACTGCTTGAAGATGCTCATAAACAGGGTAAGCTGACTCTCATAAACAGGGTAAGCCAACGTCCTAACAAAAAATGGTTACACATTGGCACAAAGCTATGCCGATGGAGAAAAAAAAATGCTATCGATTACACCCAAAGGAATTTCTTGCATGCTACGCGTAACACGTCTACATGAGATTGACATTCTCATCTAGGAGATCCTCCAGCTCACAGAACGATCCCACTGTGATCCCTGCTCTCTTCTCCACACCGCACACCACCCCATCCGCTTCTCCTTCCAGCTCAATCAGATCCTTCCAAATGGATGCCTCCCCCTGACATATGCCTTCTGCTGCTGCTGCAAGAGCCGCAGCTGCTGGAAAATCAGTCACATCAGGAGTACCAGCCACACCAGGAGCAGCAGCTGCAGCTGTAACCATGTCAGGAAGTGAAGGTTGGCAACGCATAGGAGGCAGCTCCTTTGATGCATCTCCCCTCACACATCCACACTGTGTCTCTGCGTTCCCTCCACCACGACAACTGTCCTGCTTCGCACTAGTGCATACAAGCTCCGACGTTTGCTGCCTGTCGCTGCTCTTACCTCCACGATGATCATCCGCGCCGGGCAGCCCGGAAAATAAAGAACGGGCGAATTCCAGAGCAGCAGAGGGCAGAACGCCTCGGCTCGTGCGAGGCATCTTGTGCGGCCTCGTGACTTGCAGCTGCTGTGATTCCACTGGCGCAGCGGTGTGCTGGAAGAGGTTCTGGGAGGAGGGTTGTGAGGAGGATTGGAAGACGTGTTGGGAGGTGGGTTGTTGTGAGGAGGTCTGAGAGGAGGGCGGGGAGCAGTCGACAGAAGCGGAGGAGACAGCGTTGCTTGGGGAGGCACTGCGGGAAGGGTAGCGCTGAGACAGGTGGTGCTGAGACAGGCTGCGCTGAGACAGGTGGTGCTGAGACGGGTACTGCTGTGATGGGTCGGAGAGTGTGGGAAGTGCTCTGGATGGTGGAGCATGGAGGGCTGTCTGGAGTGCGTAGAGTGAGGGGAAGGAGGGGAGAGAGTGCGGTGGGCCACGGTTGATGACGGTGGAAGGGGCTGATGGCACCAGTGCTGTCGATGCTGTTATGAGAGACGTGGGTGTGAAGGGAGCAGCAGAGTGGCCGTGAGAGGAAGGAGAGGGTATCGCGGATAGAGGAGACGTGAGAGGGCTGTGTGGAGCAATGGGGGAAGTGGTGGGGGTAGCGATGGGGGGAGCGGTGGGGGGAGTGGTGGGGGTAGCGGTCGGGGGAGAGGTGTGGGGAGGTACGGTCGAGCCGAGGGATGGGGAAAGGCTGTGGGGAAGGGCGGAATGCAGAGCGGGGAAGCTTGGAGGGTGACCAAAGGTGAAAGGCGTGCGAGAGGTGGAACGCCATGGGGACGCGGATGAGAGAGGGCTGGGCAGGTAGGGGTGAGTGGTGGACACGTGGGTGGATGAGAGTGATGGTGCGAGGGAAGGTGAATAGGAGGGTGGCAGGGAGGGTGCAATGGAGGGTAGGAAGGAGGATGGGAGGGAGGGTGTGAAGGAGGGTGTGAAGGAGGATGGGAAGGAGAGAGGCCAGACAAGGGCGGGGAGAGAGCCGGAGGTGGGTGCGCTGATGCTGCTGCAGTGGGCAGCAGGTGGGATTGAGGCTCCGTGCGAAGATGGGAATGACTGGGCTGACTTGGAACTGATTGGACCCTGTGTGAACAGTGACGGCTGCTGCTGCTGCTGCTCCTGATGCTGCTGCTGCTGCTGCTGTTGCTCCTGAAGCTGGTGCTGGTGCAGCTGCTGCTGTTTGTTTTGCTGCAGAAGTAGCGCCAAGAGCCAGGAAGTTGGGATTGCCGGCCTGATTAGAGCAGAGCAGAGGAGAGCAAAAGGGGAAGAACGTATGAGATAAGAACCAGAGTTAATCACCAGGATTCCATGTCAAAATAATGCAGGTGAAGATTCTCTTGATCTGAAAATGTCGCAAAACCAGAGCATTCACCAGAAATGCACGTGCGCTCGAAGCACGGAGGCTTGAACAACGAGAGTCAGAGCCGAGTGATGCACGAATGATTTATGAGTGCACGCATGAGTCATAGCCTCACCTGCTATCGCACTGTTTCTTTCTGCCTTGGCTGGTAGCAGCCCCCAGAAGCAATGAGCGCACAGCCGACACATCAACAGCTTCCGTGTCCGGAAGCCGAGTGTTGGTGTGAGCAGCACTGCCGATGATGCCTGTGTCATCATTGCGAAGCCTCTTCAGGCCCCGACCCGAGCAGTGTGCGGGGTTTGAATCCATGGTGCGTGGCTCCGTGGCATGTGAGTCGGGGTAGAGAATGTGGGCCAGTTGGTGAGCTGCCACTGCTGCCGTGCTCTGCTGTGCTGCTGGTGCTGATGATGATGATGCCGCTCGTGCTGCTGCTTTTGCTGCTGCTGCTGTCGCCGCTCCTGCTGTGAGCGCGCTTCTCATGCTTCCCATGCTTGGCACAAACTGCTCTCGATCTGAAAGGTCAGCCTCAGCAGCGACAGGTGCAGGATTGAACTCAGGTGAATGGTCAGGTGAACCATCTGATGCTTCCGGGGTGTCTCGGAGACCAGGGGGGAGGAACAGCTGCATGCACTCGACCAATGACAGCCCGCCATATTGCAATGCCACGTCAGGACGGCTCCACATGTGCCGCTGTGCCTGTCTGGAAGACGGGGAAACGGCCGGGCCTTGCTGGAACTGTTGCTGAGCTGGGTGCGTGACGTCAGCGTGCTTCTGGATAAACTTCCTGCGGAGAGAAAGCGTGGAGGGGGAAGACAGAGAGGCATGGGTTAGATAAAGCTGTGTGTGAGGTCAAGGCTGCGAAGTGTGCATCTAGTAGTCTCTAGGCGGAAAGAGCGGACCCCGATCATACCAAGCCAGAAGCTGCACTGAATTCAAGCTGGAATGTTAGAGGATACGCATCATGTGACATGGCGTGACATGAAGACCGTCAGCCTGGCGGATGCCGCTCACTTTGTGAGGAAGAGGAAGCGGTTGCAGCACATCATGATAATAACACGGCTTTGCACCTCCGGGGCTCACTTTGTGAGGAAGAGGAAGCGGTTGCAGCACATCATGATAATAACACGGCTTTGCACCTCCGGGGCTCACTTTGTGAGGAAGAGGAAGCGGTTGCAGCACATATCATGATAATAACACGGCTTTGCACCTCCGGCTCACTTTTTGAGGAAGAGGAAGCGGTTGCAGCACGCCTTGTTGCCGCGCGCGAGCTGCTTGCCTCGCACCAGCCGCCCCCACTGCCGCGTTCCGTGCCTCAGCGCGTGCCGCAGCAGCACCGCGTCCTCCTGCCAGATTGACGCAAAACGAGGGTAAGAACAGAAGGTATGAGGGTAAGCGACAGACCGCGATCGAGGGTGACTAGCGTGCCGCAGCAGCACCGCGTCCTCCTGCCAGATTGAGGCAATGGAGGGTAAGGGACGGAGGGTAAGCGACAGACGGGGATCGAGGGTGAGTGACAGAAGGTAAACGATCGCGGGAGAGCGAAAGAGGCAGAGGAAAGGGCCGTAACCAACCAGGCTGCATTGCGCCTTAATGCTGCGAAGATGTTGCGGGCTGCGGCATTCGCGGAGCAGCTAGAAGCCGAACCGAACTACTACGGAAGGGCGAGGGCCCTGATACACGTTGACTTGAGCTAGCAGTGTTAGGTAACGCACGTAGTAGCAGGTGAAAGATCGCTGTGAATATAAAGCGTCGCCGTACCTCCGTCGTCCATGGCTGCGAGAACGGCTCGAATCTCAGAATGGGCGGCGAATCCGCTAACTGGGTCGCCATGGCTGCTGGAAGAAAGCTGAAGATTCTCGGAAAATCAGTGGCACTCCTGTGGCCAGAAATGCGCCGTGCCTGAGGTATGGATCGGTGTCAGCCCAAGTGCTCACGACGGCTCAATACGGCTCACTATGGCTCACTAAACTGGCGTTCAGCAAGAGAATAGGCGTTCTTTGGAGGGGGGGAAGGCACCACGCTCGAGGGGTGTTCGATCGCGAGAGTGCTCTATCTCGGCCCGTTGCGGCCTCGTGCTAGAAAACCAGCTAATGCTTGCTGCGTATGGGAGGAAGGAGAACCTTCGAGCATGTGGAAGTAATGTGGGTATTACAGCGGCGATGAATATAGACTAAATAGTTGACAGGTCCATCGTGGACTCGGTGTGCAACGGGGTCCGAGAGCGAGAGCCTTGTGTTGCTCCAGTACAGTAGCGCCAAGCATTGCACCCACCGACTGGCGAATGGGGGAGGTTGTTTTGCGGTGGAATCCCGAGTGGATGACAGAGAGCGTGCGAGTCGTGGGCCATGGCGGTCGAGCGAGGGTTTTCGGGTCGACGACGGCGACCGCGGGGAAGAGGAAAGGGTGTTCGCGAAAATCTTTCGCGATTCCCCCCCACCCCTCACGCATGGGGGAGATGCGCGCAACTACCACCTTCCGCATCTTTCCGTATTGCACGTCTATCCGCAACAGCACAGGCTCTAAATCAAATCAGCGCATTTACGAGGACAGATTACAGGACACGTTCTGGCCAGGCTGGAGCTCCTATGGCCTTATTTGGAGCCGTTCCAACGACCATGTTGGGTTCCGCGGCGGGATCGCGATTCAGATCGCGATTGAGCTTCCGAAACAAGTCTGACGCAATCACCCAGCCTGGGAATTGAAGGCAATCATTTGCTTCCGCAGTTGTTGCCATTGGACGGGCCGATGGCTTTATTTGGCTGTTGTTTGTCATCATGTGTCGCGGCGATATTCAAGGAGGGCGACGCTGCTGCGAATAAAATAATCGCCAGCTTCCTGATGCGCACATGCGTGTGCCTGTGAGCAGGTGCAAGGCTTTTGTGAAGGTTGCCGAGCCGATGCGTGCAGGGGTGGGATAAGAGCTGGAGGAGCTATTCCGATAGTACAGTAGATTACACCAGCTTAAAGCCAGGGTCTCACGTACTACAAGTGCTTTGCAATTGATGGTGAAAGTTTGGCTTTGATTGGTTGGCGAGGTGTAAGGTTCGAAGTGGGGTGAAGCGAGGGGTGCGAAGCGAACGTAAATCGCTGGGGGTAAGGGCGTGTTCGTTTTGACATCATGTGTTGAAAATCGAATTCTGGAAACGAAAATTTGTCACATGCAGTATTCGAACACCAATTATTCAGAAATTTCAGTTACGGTGCATATGATACAAAATGAAACGGTGCTCAAATGTGACACACTTTGCGTTCGAACTTTGCGAAACGCGTGCGAAACACAGTCAGAGTCGCACGGCACACATACGACTAAAGATGATATGGCATGTCGACGTGGCTGATGTACTTGACATTCCCGCCAAGCGACTCGACGTGTCGCTGCTGTCGTCGAATTTCGCAATTATACGACGAAATCGCATGGCGGAAAGTTCGAAATTGTGCGGGTTTCACTCCATCGAACTTTCACGGCTGAGCGAGACTGAAGGATCCGAATTCGAAGTGTATTACGGAGTGGACACCAACGAGACGGTGACTTGCGAAGACATCTAACGACATTTGAGAAAGCTTGTTACGAACAAAAGTTCGAACGTTCGGAAAAAGAGCGAACACGCCCTAACCGAACCATCTAGGCTTGGAAACTTGGTTCGGAGCCAAACCTAAAATGCCCCCAACTCATCTAAAGTCTGAAGTACCCAAAAGTGTTGTGCAATTGCTTTTGGGGCAGTGACGCAAGCTGAGTTTCCAACCCAACCAGAGACAACTTCGCCAGCACTAACTTGGTTACATAGCTTCAAGTGCTTTGCAGTCGATGGCTCCTTAGCTTACATGAGACCCTGGCTTTAAGTAGCAATCTGGTTAAATAAGGCGAAGGACCTGGCCTGTTGGTCCCTAAAGACTCGGTGGGAAGCGTTGTCAATAAGAAGGGTAAGTAGCTTTCGCAGGGGTACTACTAGCGACCCTGCGCTTTCAAGGGGACTACAGTGCTATATGCGGGCACTTTCCGCCACTCCGCCACTCCGACAGGAACATTATGGCAACAACACAGAACTCGGTCCCACATTCACCCACGTGTCACAAATTTCGCAAGCCACTGGAAAAAATATCCCTTTACCTGACCGAAAAAAACTAAAACCCAATCGGGAAGGGATGCGTCTCGAGGAGGCATCTGTTACGAATAGTGATTGTTGAAACACTATTATACACTCCTCACCGCAGCAATCGAAGCACGCTCTACCGAGAACGAAGACGGACAGGCGGAGGTGACACGAAGAGTCACACGGTTACGAAAGGATCTGGACTGTCGGGCAGACAGCATCAGGCAGCAGCAGTGGCGAGGATTCTGCCCGAACAGTTTCGTAACTGTCTGGAGTCGCACGGTTGGATTTCGCTGCAATAAGGGAATGTACCCCTTAGAGTACATGGCTAGCTAGGTCGATTGGTATCCCCTTGTAATCTTATTTATATTCCTTGTACTGCATGTTTTTATTATCTCAAGCATTTACATTCACTCTGCTATTGAGGTCAAGGGCCCACCACCACTAGATTAGAAGCGTGCGAACCTTCCTGAGGTGATCCTGAGGTCGATCAACTTCTGATCGCAACATGATATGAGAGCGACTCAGGAATCCTTCGCACCGCCACCACCGAAATCTTCGGCGAACGGAAAGTGGCGTCCGGCACACGATCACGTGTGAGAATGGCCGGAGGATCTGGAGGTCAGACGAATCTGACGGCTGAAGCGCAGACTAATCCGGCTGCGACTAACGAGGAAACGACGACAATCCCTTCCGTCGTCCTCGCACAACTGCTTCAGCGACTCACGAGCCTGGAGCAAGGGCTCCAAACATTGCGGAATGGCGACGCGGGAACATCTTCCCATCCCACTCAACCGGCCTCGAACGGCCAGAACTCCGCCTTGCAAGGCTTCTCTCTTGACACAAACGGCTCAACACCCAAGACTCCCTGTCCCAGCGATGAAGCAATTCACTCTGCGCAATCAAGGTTTTTTAGCATATCAAAAATAAAGACAAGTGTGTGCTTTGACGGCAGAGACTTCTATACCTGGAGCTTCGAGCTGGAGCTACTGCTGCAAAACGCGCAGATTTTTCACTACTTTGACGGGAGCTACTCGGGACCCACGGAGGAAACTGACGACGCAAAAATCAAGTACTACAACGAGTCCCTGATGGCGTACGGGGTTCTTCTTCGAAATATGTCGCCGACGGAGCAATTGAGCATTCGCTCATACAAAACTTTGCCTGCTCCAGCCCTCAACGCCTGGCGCCACCTGAATGGTGTGTATCAACCGAAGGACTCGGTGTCGTCGAGCCGTCTACTCCAGCAGCTACTGGAGACCAAAATGGCACCAGGAGAGAAGGCCAACAGTTACATGAATCGCTGTCGGAGCCTACGCGATCAAATCGCGAAACTGGGGAGCACAATTTCTGAGGAAATCTTCGTAAATTTCGTGCTCCAAGGGCTCGGCCCCGAGTGGCGGCCCTGCAAGGTGCTTCTCCGACATCAGGGGGTCATCTCGGAGGCCGCCCTTTGCGCCGCCCTCCTCGTCGAACAACGGGATATGGATCAGCAGCGACCAGCGCTGCTACGAGACAGGGAACGCCTCGCCTTCTACGCCGACAACACGGAAGAGCGACGGCCACGGCGCCTCTACTGCAAAATTTGCAGAAACTTCGGGCACCTGGCAGATCGATGCAAGCATCGATCTCGCCCTCGTCAGACCAATCCGAGCAACTGGTCCGGCCGACAAGACGCAAGGAACGACACGCGTCCTGCCCAGGGGTATCAACCCCCATCGCGCAACCTGAACCAGGCAGTTCAGCAGCAGCAGCAGCCATCACAGGCTGCCCCCGTCCGCAATGTCATGGGAAACATGACCATGACGAGCGGGTCTCGTCGCCCGCGCGCGCGCTCACCATCACCTGAGCCAGCGCCTGGCCCAATCGGAGCGTTCTCGAACAACAATCCGTTCAGCACGCGTCACGACTTCAGCGACGATGACAAACAGGACTGGAATCTCCCAGTCCCGCTGCTTGAGAGCCCCCCGCACGTACCAGACACGCGGCCGGCACCGATCGATTGGATCGCGCGCGAACAATTTCTCAAGGTCGACACACCGCACATCGTTACCCCGCGACTGGCGCTGCTCGCGCGTAACGACAACAGGCGCTACAACACGTGGTACCTGGATAGCTGCTGTGGGCAGCACATGGTGGGCTCTGAGCGTTACATATCCAACGTCACACGCGGCTGCGCGCAAACGTGCAAGGCATCGTCGTGCTCAAGGCACATGGAAGCAGAACGCACATCACCTTGAATGACGTGCTGATTGTGCAGAACCTGCGCTTCAACCTGCTCTCGGCGGCGCAACTCCTGGATTGCGGAGTTGTCCTCAGCACCGACCCCGAGACGCGCGACATCCTGCTCCACTTCACGATGCCGAACAAAACGCGCAAGCAGATCGGACGAGCACACGCCGAGAACGGAGTGTACGTTCTCGACTTCGATATTCCCGACTGCAGCGGTGACTCGCAGGAACTCATCGACCTTGTTCCTCTGCGTTTCGA